AAGATACATCAGTCTCTGATACATTTATTTTTTATATTTGTTATCAGAAAGTTTATCTAAATCAAGTTTTTAATTAATAAAACAAAAAAAACCTTCCAATTTAGCTTATAGCCTTCAGCAAACATATAAAGGGTAAGTGGGGAGGTACTTTTGGAATTTAGGAAGTTCAGGACAATTACATTTCACAAGAGGAAAGTCATTACATGGACCCTTTCTGCATCTTTCTTTTTCTAGAATCCAAAGATTCCGTTTTACTTTTTCTACGTGTCTGTTTCCTATTCTTTTGTCTGTAGATAGCTTTCTTCCATATGGTTTGTAACTTCTGCTTTATGACAATTTTAGCTGTGCCACATCTCTATTTGTTGTAACTGCTTAGCTCTAGTATAGAACAGTAGAGTACCAAAGTGTCTTTGTCTCTTAGTTCAAATTCTTAACTAGAAAAATATCCTTGTTTCCGTCTGCTCTGACCAAGAAAATTAAGGTTACCTGTGTAATATGGCCCCTGACAGACACCCCACACTCTGGCATCAGTGTCACAGAAGACAATCTGGGTCTCACAGCAAAAGATAACATCTCTGTTAAAGGGTTCACTTGTAAATTTTACTAGGATTTAAGTCTACCTGAAACCAGGATGAAGCTTCCAGGACCTATCAGAGTAGTCTGGCTGGGTCAGAATTCGAATGATTATGCCAGGCTATGTTGTGTCTCTCCTGTACTCAGTTGGTTTAATGCAGTAGTTCCCAGAAACTCTAACATCACACTACCATGGTTTTTGTTTCTCATTTACTTGGATTGTGTCTTGCACCTATCATTGAACAATCAGTGTGAACAGGAGAATGTTCTACTCAGTAATCAATTTTCTACCTCTGAGACATTTCCGAGGGATAAAGTGAACTATTCTAGCAGAGCGTTGTGATAGTAAAGTGAGAGGTGGTTCTTCAGATAAAAGTGGATCCGGTAATCAGAAAAATTGATGAATTCTGGGCAGGAACAAAAAATAAGTATCTACTAAAGGTGCTATCACTTCAAATTAAACTACATTAAAAGAAACTTTAAATTATTATTAAGGGTATTAATAATTCAGCCTTGAAAATACAGACTTCAAGAATATAAGTAACTTTTCCAGGGTAATAAACAGTGTATTATAGGTCAATTTGGACTAGAACTTGGATTCCTCCTTATTAGTTATGATCTGACTATTTTTTTTAATTTCTTTTTTTTTTTTTTTTGGAGAGGTTTTTGCTAATAGGGCACGTGTGCTCGCCAGACAGAGACAGAGAGAGACAGAGAGATAGAAAGCAAGAAATCACCCCCCAGGGGGGATGGTCACGCCACAATCCCTTCTCCTCCATTCTCCTCTCGGGATCTTGGGCAAGCATGCACACGCGCCCAGCGTGAGTTTAAGCCACCGGGTCCAGGACTCGAACTGCCATTGACTACATGGGAGTCCAGTGACATAGCCATTATGCTAACTTCTGGTCTTTGACTTTAAAAATGGAAAGAACTAATATATAAGTAGAGGGAACAACAACTGTTAAGAATCTCAGTGCAGTTTCCTTATTTTTTTTAATCATCTTAACCAGTTTTTTTGTTTGTTTTTTTAATTTACCAGAGGGCCCATGCACTTACCAGAGAGAGGCAGAGATTCAGGAAGAAAGTACCCACCAGTGGGAAATGATCATCTACAATCCCTTCTCCACAGCTCCATCTCACCTGGTGGGTGTTTCAAGCTGGGATTTGAAATGTGATTGGCCATGTGTGATCCAGACCATGGAGGTGGCCCCATCGTAACTATTTCGAAGTGTGAAGTTCACTGGCATTACGTTCACATCATTGTGCATCAGACTAGTTTCCTACACAGCATCACTCTGGAATAATCCATTTCACTTGAGGAAAGAAACATTTTGCTCTTTTTTTATTATTTTGAGAGGAAAACAAATAGGTACTAATAATTTTTTCTTAATTGCTAGAGGGCATGTGTGGCTGCCAGAGAGAGACAGAGAGATGGAGGGGGGCATCCTCTAATGAGATATGGCTATATTTCAATCATTTCTCTTACATTTTTCCATCCTCTTGGAATTGGGGGCTTGTATGCACAGATGCCTTATGTGTTGCTCAAGGTGCTAAGACTGGTGAACCACTGACAGACATTTGGGATACTGCTCCCTTAACTACTAAGTGGAGCCAGACTGGTGCTCATATTTTATAAAAATATTATAATCTAGACAGAAAAATCTCTTCAAATATGTCAGAGCGTGTTTCTGTGAAAGCCCTTTCTCTATAAGGAGTCTTCAAAATTCATATAAATGTGTACTACGTATGTACAAAATATGCACGTATTTCAAGATTTTTATTTTGCACCAAAGTAAACTCATACTTTAATCCCATTTTCTGCACATGTTTTTTCTTTGTTTGCTTTTGTTTTTGTTTTCTAAGTTTTTGGCATGGAGCATGTGCACTCACTAGAAAGAGAGACAGAGAGAGAGAGAGAATGAGAAATCAGCCCTCAGATGGGATTCTTTCTCCTCTATTCTTCTCTTGGAATTTTGGGCATGCATACATGTCTGACATGATTTTCAAGCCTCTGGGTCCATGACTTGAGCCATGGTCTACTATGTGGGAGTCAAGTGCCTTAAACTAAATGCAGTGCCTAAATCACCTTGCCAACTGATGGCCTCCTCTGCACAATTTTCAAAGTCCCCTTATATTTCTTATCATGTATGCATTCTAATTCATTTCCTTGCTAATTTTTTTCTATTTCCTGTCATTTTATAATTTCTTTTTTTTGTTTGTTTGGTACATAAATTAACCCATTTATTGTAGGCTAGTGATATTGCAAATGTCTATGGAGCTTCTACTGTTCTTTCAATTCCTTCAGTCTTCTGATGGCAGACTTCACTGTGACAGCAAAAGTGGTGTTGTAGGTCCAGGCACCACCAGCTACTGTGTTCATGCAGGAACCACAGTGCCAGATCCCCACAGCCTGTCTCTTCATCTTAGTTTTGCCACAGAAGGAGCAGGTGTACTTGGCGTGCTGGCTGATTTCACCGTTTTCCAGAGAGAGGCACCATAGCGGGTCCCGTATTTACCAACAATGCCAACCTTCTTGGTGAGTTTAGCCATTATGCCGCCAACTAGGTCCGAGCCCAGAGAGGTATAATTTCTAATTTATATTTAATTGCTGTATATTTTTGGGGATTTTTCAAAGTATGCATAGTGTGCAATCATCAAATCAAAATAATGTCATATTTGTTGTTTTCAGTAAAGAACACCACATTTGATATTTGCCTCATCTACCTGTATTCCTTTGTCTAGTAAATGCTTTCTTTTAGGGATACCTATTATCCCCCTACCTCTACACCCCCTATTCATTCTCTAGAATCTGTAGTTGTCCCTTCTACATCTATGCCTGCAAATCGTTCAATTTCTGCCATATAGTGCAGATATTCCATAAATGTTGAGTAAGGACATACATTGTTTGTCTTTCACAGTCTGTCTTATTTCACTTAGCATTTACCTCTTCTAGATTTGGTTACTTTGTATCAAATTACAGAATCTTACTGTGCTTCTTTTTTTTTTTTTTTTTTTGGAGAGGTTTTTGCTATAGGGCATGTGCCCTTGCCAGAAAGAGAGAGACAGACAGAAAGCAAGAAATCACCCCCCAGGGGGGATGACTACGCCATAATCCCTTCTCCACTCTCCTCTCAGGATCTTGGGCATGCACGCACATGTGCCAGGCGTGAGTTTAAGTCACTGGGTCCGGGACTCAAATCGCGGTCGACTACATGGGAGTCCAGTGACATAACCATTATGCTAACTGCTAGTCCCTATGTGCCATATTTTTAAAATCTAGTCATGATTTGTTGAACACTTAGGTTGATTCCATGTCTTAGCCTTTTAAAATAATGTTACAATAAACATAATACAAGTATATTTCTGAACAATTTCCTGTTTTTTGGGTAATCACTCAGGAGTAGGAATACTGGGTCATATCTATAAATTTTCAAGAAATGTCCATATTGTTTTCTACAATGGATGTACTAGTTTACATTTCCAACAGTGCAGACAGATTCCTTATCACTAGAGTGCAACCAGTATTCATTGTTCTTTGCTTTTTAGATCATAGGCATTCTGAATGGCATGAGATGATACTTTATGGTGATTTTGATTTGCATTTCCCTTATGATAACGAATGTTGAACATCTTTTTCCTATACTTTTTGGCCATTTGTATATGTCCTTTGAGAGCATTCTGTTCAGATCAATTGCCCATTTTTAAATTGGATTAATAGTTTTTTCACAGATAAGCTCCTTGAGTTCCCTTTATAGTCTAGTTATTTATCTTCAATCTGAAGTATAGTTTGCAAACATTTTCTCCCATTCTGTGGGCTCCTTCTTTATGGATTGTTTCCTTTGCTGTGCAGTAATTTAGTTTGATGCAATCCCACTTGTCTACTTTTGGAGTTTTTGCCTATATTGCAAGATCTTATTTAAGAAACTTTTACCTACTCCAAAGTCTTCAAGTAGTTCCTCTGTGCTTTCCAGTTTTATAGTTTGAGACTTTACATTTAGATATTTGATTCAGTTTGAGTTGAATTTTGTTAATGGTAAAACATAAGGATGTTTATTTCTTCTCTTCTTTTCTTCTTTGGTGTACATCCAGTTTTTCAAGCACCGTTTAATTGGAAATTTCTGTTCTTGACTGAATTGTCTCATGTTCGTTGTCAGTTGGCTATATATTCTTGGGTTTGTTCCTAGATTCTCCATTCTCCATTCTGTTTCACTGATCTATGTGTCCACTTTTGTACCGTACTATGTGGTTTTGGTTATCATAGCTTTATAATATATTTTGAGGTAGGGTACTGAGATGCCTCCAATTGCATTCTTTGTGCAAAGTTTTGCTTTGGCAAGATGGAGTCTTTTATGATTCTAGGCAAATTTTATGATTTTTTTCTGTTTCTGTGAAAAATGTCACTGATAATTTGATAGAAGTTGCATTGAAAAAGTATAGAAAGCTTCACGAATTTGCATAGCATCCTTGCACAGGGGCCATACTAATCTTCTATTTATTATTCCAACTTTAGTATATGTGCTGATTAGGCAAACACAATTATTAGATTCTTATATGAATTGCTCCTGCTGTCTGATACTCATCAGAAATGAAGAAACTTGCTTCAATACTGCAAGAACATTTTCTTCTCCAGGAAGAATTAAATACAATTTGATGACTTATGTCTGGCATAGCAATGTATATAAAACCCTGACTCTCACCTGAAAGGTAAGAGGAAGGGAAGTATGTCTATAGCCTATTCTTTTCCAAGGTAAGGAGTCACTTTCCATTGTACCACCTTCCAACAAACTTGTAACTGTTCTTTTAAGAATGAAAGGTAAAAGAAAGAAGCAACGACACTTGTGCAATGGCTGCAGGCTCAGTAGCTCAGAATCAGAGAGGAATAGGGAAGAATAAAATATTTCTCAGAGTTCAAGGGCTTTCATTCAAGGGCCAGTGAGACAGATTTTGAAATCATGAAGCTTGTTCTTTGGCTTCTGAAGCTACTGGTTAGTTTTCCCATATGACATTGTAAGAAAGAATTCTAACTATTTTGTAGGCTACTCACAAGTTGAAGTCCCAAAGAGCTTTTGAAAGTATCATAAAGGTTGTGATAATACATATTTCTCCTTATAGAATAGGTCAGAGGTTCTGTTTAAAATCCTCTTTAATATAAAATGAACATATGAAATTCTCAGGTCGAAACTCTACGCAGAGTAGAGAATGTCTAACATAATGACACCGGATTTTGCCCCAACAGTGGGGTCAAATTACTTCAATACAGGACCAGGACTTCAGTAGCAGTAATTTTGTGTTACTAATTTACCACTAGTGAAGCCACCAGGAAATTTGGTTTGATTGTGGGGAGGGAAAAAGGCCCTCAAATTATTGGCCTTCTGTGTCACTCATGTGGAAATAAAGAGGCATGCCCCAATGGAGGTGGATATAAGTGGCACCAGAGAGAATAAAGAAATAATGACCAATATGAATTTCTGGTCATGTTCATGTGAACAGAAGTCGCATTCCTTCATTTATTATTCCACGAATATTCGTGGATCTCTTGTATATGTCAAACTTTTATGAGCCATTTTCACTCAATTCTTCTAAAAGCAGTCTTGTACAACGTGAAATATATTCATGGAAAGAAATGACCAGAAACGTATAAGAAAATACCTAAGTAATTATTGGGTTGTCTGGAAAGTCATGACACATTTTTGCATAGGAAACTACTTCATGACTTTCCCAACAACCTGATATATGGGTGTACATGCATTCAAACCTTAACAAGTGCGTACACTATAATTCAGCACTTTATTTTGGAAACCTTTTATTTTTGAAATAATGTTAGATTTTTAGAGATGTTGTTTAATAATTCAATTGACTTACAGGAATTTTTGTTAAGAAAATAATCAGGTACACATGCAGAGAATTTTTTATAAAGATGTTTGTTTCTTACAATAGCAAAATTTTTAAAATAAAACAAAATGAGGGCTAAATAGATAAATTAAGATATATCTAGATTTTAAGAAATTTTATATATATATCAAAATCCTATTAAAAATTAGGTAGTTATTTTAATATTATAGTCTCAAATCTGTGATACATGCTTATAGTCATATAAAATTGAATAGATGTTTATACCCAATGAGTGATTATCGCTATGTGATGACTATGGTATTTCCTACATAGTGAGTTTTAGGACTTTGGGAATTATCAGACAAGAAGTAGGATTTCAGAAATAAATATTAAGAATCAAATCAGAACTATTGGGCCACAGTCCTCTGCTGTGGATGGTAATGTTTCAAAAAAAACTAAAGTTAAGTTTCTATGTTATCAGAGATTATGCTTAGTATACTCTGAAATCTTCAGTGATACAGTATTCACTGCAGAGAAATGTCATCTATCTTCTTCCTGCTGTCATGAACTCACCAAATAGGCACTGGATTTTAAAGCTTTCAAACTACAAAGAGGTAACTCAATGAATTAAATTCATATTGTATGTCAATAACTGATGATATTTCTGTAGGACAAAAATTTTGAAGAAAGTAGAAGGAAATGGATGGAGGCAAAGTTGCTTTAAAAAGGAAAAATGAGGGACCAGCAGTTAGTGTAATGGCTATGTCGCTGGACTCCCATGTAGTCGACCGTGGTTCACGTCCTAGACCCGGTGGCTTAAACTCACGCCAGGCACGTGTGCGTGCGTGCCCAAGATCCCAGAGGAGAATGGAGGAGAAGGGATTGCAGCGTGGCCATCCCCCTGGGGGGTGATTTCTCACTTTCTGTCTCTCTGTCTCTCTCTGTCTGCGCCCTATAGCAAAAACTTCTCCCAAAAAAACTTGCATGCTCAAAATCCCTAAGGAAGGATGTAGGAGAAGGAAATGTAGCAGAACCATCCTGCATGGGAGGTACTTTCTCATTCTCTCTCACCATCCTGCATAGGAGGTACTTTCTCATTTTTTCTCTGTCTCTCTCTCTCTCTCTCTCTCTCTCTCTCTCTCTCTCTCTCTCTCTTCCTCTCTTGTGAGTACACATACCTGTAGCAATTGTTTTAAAATAATGATGATAAATCAAATTAAATAATTTTTTTGGAGAGGTTTTTGTTACAGGGCATGTGTGCTCTCCTGAAAGACAGAGAGAGACAGAAAGCAAGAAATCACAGCCAGGGGAGATGGGCATGCCACAATTCCTTCTCCTCCATTCTCCTATTGAGCTCTTGGGCACACATGCACACGCACCTGGCATGAGTTTAAGCCACCAGGTCTGGAAATCGAACCACAGTTGACTATGTGGGAGTCCAGCAACATAGCTATTACAACAACTGCTTGTCCCAAAATATTTTTTAAAAAGAGAAATGATTTGGAGAGAAGTTGCTGAGGACCAAGAAAGCTATCATTGATTAAAAACAAAAAGGTTATTTATTATTTCCTTAGCCTCAAAAATATCTCATTTTATTTCTGTGCCACCATCTGGCCCCCATAGTTACTGATTTCTGGTTTCACAGTTTTGCTGAAGGTTGACTTACATTTTATCATAAAAAAGACCATGTTTGTGATATGTAAGTCTTATGGGACCAGCAGTTGCTGTAATGGCTATGTCACTGGACTCCCATGTAGTCAACTGCGGTTTGAGTCCCAGAACTAGTGGCTTAAATTCATGCTGGGTGCGTGTGCGTGCGTGCCCAAGATCCTGAGAGGATAATGGAGGAGAAGGGATTGTGGCAGTGCCATGCCCCCCGGGGGGGATTTCTCGCTTTCTATCTCTCTGTCTCTCTCTGTCTATAGTGCACATGCCCTATAGCAAAAAACTCTAAAAAAAAAAAGTCTTCACTTTTCCTTCTATGCCAAAATAAAATAATTCACCACTTGAAATGAGCTGTTGTCTGACAGAATGAAGAGGATTTGAATGGAAGTAAATGAGGTTGCTATTCTTTAAGGATCCATCTCTTTAATTAGACATGTTGTCAACCTTGCTTTCAGTCAGTCCAACCAGGCTACTACCCAATCGCCATAGAGCTTAGGGCTAGAGTTTGTAACTCAGAGTCTATGACAGATGTAAGGGCTTTTCCCCAAGGTCTGTAGAAATAAAAAAAGTAAAGTAAAAATAAAAAATAACATTGGTAAGTAGATCTAAAGCCCTTAATGCCATCACTCGCATAATACCTGGGTAGGCTTTGCTGGTAGATAAAAATTCCTCTAAACGCCATTGCTTACATAATATCTGAGTAGGTCTTGCCAGCTTAAAGGTAGACAGTGAGACCGACTCTTTCTTTCTTTCTTTCTTTCTTCTTCTTTTTTTTTTTTTTTTGAGGTTTTTGCCATAAGGCATGTTTACTTGACAGAGAGAGACAAAAAGCGAGAAATCACTCACTCAACGGGGGGTGGCCATGCCGCAATCCCTTCTCCATTCTCTTCTCGGGGTCTTGGGCACACATGCACACGCGCCCAGCCTGAGTTTAAGCCACCGGGTCTGGGACTCTAACCACAGGTGACTACATGGGAGTCCAGTGACATAGCCATTATGCCAACTGCTACTCCCAAGACTTTTTATTTCTTGAAGTCTTACGGTTCCTGGAGTGACAGAACAGTGTCCATTGTTTAGGAAAGGAGCTTAGAAAAGACTCCTCAAATCACTATATGGGAATTCATAGCAATCACTTCTAGGCAAGTCCTACTAAATGCACAAATGTTTGCTGGTTGCAGAGGGGATATATCAGCTCCACTCTAGCATAAACCCAAATGAATTTTGAGGTTAAAAAATTAATTAAATTGAGAGGGGACATCTGTAACATGCAAATTAAAGCAAAAACATGAAAAACTGTAATAAAAAACTTTTTTGTATCTAAATAGGGAGAAAAAAAAAAGAACCAAACCAAAAAAAGAAAACATGGGATCTTCAGAGGAAATTATGTATCTGCAAGTACAGGGTTCTTGAGATGTCTCCCTATAAGCATGAATAGTTCAGAAGGTTGGTGCCAATGAGAGGCAGGCTCTTCGCCTTTCCTGTTTCCTAGCTACAACACAGATGCAAGCTCCACATAGGCAGTCAGAAATGAGTTCTGACTGAGACAATTATATAAATGTCACTGTAAGCTGTTATCTTATTAAATTTTTTTCTTTTAGCATTCCAGCATCATTTTTCAGGGATACTGGATTACTTAAGATAAAGAGAAGGCTTAGATATATTACCACAATAAAAATAAAGATGTCTCTGACACTAGCTTTATAATATTAGCTACAGATGGAGACTGCTTGGAAGGATATGTGAAAATAAACCCAGCTCCTTCACTGCTCTGGCAATAATGATAATCATACTTTCCAAAGATACTTGACAGTGATTGATTTACCCATTACATAGTCTGCCTTTTAACTTGAGGCAATTCTTTAAGTGCAAGGTCACTACAATACAAAGCACAATGTCATTTAACATATATTAAAAGCACCTAAAATCTTACTAGGAAATCTAGATTCTGTGAAACCATCTCAATGGTCTGATCAGTAATGTGCATATCCAAAAGTGAGCTCTAAGAGAATGACCACATACCTGCCACTTCAGTCTGAT